GGGGGTGCAGTAGAGCTGAAGACAGTAGAATGGTCAGGAACACAGCCATGGTCATACACGGGTGGTTAGCAGAGTTGAAGATAGTAGAGTGGTCAAGAGCCAAGCCAAGGTCATACACAGGGGTTCAGTAGGACGGAAGATAGTGGAGTGGTCAGGAGCCAAGCCAAGGTCACACACTGGTGGTCAGTAGGATAGAAGATAGTGGACTGGTCAAAAGCCAAGCCAAGGTCATACACAGGGGGTCAGTAGGACTGAAGATAGTGGACTGGTCAGGAGCTAAGCTAAGGTCATACACAGGGGGAGGGGGCAGTAGAGCTAAAGACAGTGGAGTGTTCAGAAACCAAACCATGTTCATACGTGGGGGGTTAGTAGAGCTGAAGATAATGAAGTGGTCAGGAGCCAAGTCAAGGTCATACACTGGTGGTCATTAGGATAGAAGATGGTGGAATGGTCAGGAGCCAAGCCAAGGTCATATATGGGTGGTCAGTAGAACTGAAGATAGTGGAGTGGTCAGGAGCCAAGTCAAGGTCATACACTGGTGGTAGGAGGATAGAAGATGGTGGAATGGTCAGGAGCCAAGCCAAGGTCATATATGGGTGGTCAGTAGAACTGAAGATAGTGGAGTGGTCAAGAGTAAAGCCAAGGTCATACACTGGTGGTCAGGAGGATAGAAGATGGTGGAATGGTCAGGAGCCAAGCCAAGGTCATATATGTGTGGTCAGTAGAACTGAAGATAGTGGAGTGGTCAGGAGCCAAGTCAAGGTCATACACTGGTGGTAGGAGGATAGAATTGGTGGACTGGTGAGAAGCCAAGACAAGGTCATACACAGGGGGTCTGTAGAGCTGAAGATAGTAGGGTGGTCAAGAGCCAAGCCAAGGTCATACACTAGCGGTCAGTAGAGTTGAAGATAGTGGAGTGGTCAGGAGCCAAGCCAAGGTCATACACAGGTGATCAGTAGAAACAAGTCCTTAGCAAGCCCAGGTAAAACCCAAGAATGAGATAGAGAGGAATCCAAGGGCAAGCCAAATCTGTAACAGGACATCAGGATATGTACAGAACCAGGATATATGGAGCCGAGGTTTACGGACAAGCTGAAGACCATCCAGCAACTGTCAGGTGGGCGGTTGTTGGGCATCATGATTTCCCTAGATCTGCATGGCTGGATGAAGCAATTGATGAGGGATTTTCAATGAGGGACATTTTGGGGGGATGTTTATTTTTTAGTAAAAAACATTTGGCTAATTTATTTCTAGAATACAACTTTTTTGTTTTGGTGAATGAGTAGGGGTGCTGTGTACCCCATATTCCTTCCTGGGGGGCAGGGCGGTATCTGGGTTCTCCAATATTATTAAAGGGGTCTTTCAGATTCTGGTAATCGCCCACCTGCAGACCCCCACAACCACCAGTCAGGGTTATGGGGAAGAGGCCTTTGTCCACTTTAACATTGGGACAAGGTGCTTTGCTAGGATAGTTGCCCCAGTCTGGAGGGGGCTCATGTTCCCTTGCTTTCCTGGCCAACCAGGTTGCATGCTTGGATTTTTTTCTTGCATGAGGTCACCCTTGAAATCTGTATCAGACGCAAATGGTTTGGTATGTCTTTCCTGGAGGACCTCATGCTTTTTAAAATATTTATCACATGGGGTACTTCTTACAATCCATACCAAACTCAAAGGACCTGCAATGAAAAAATGTGGGGAAACCCCACGCTGTCTTTTTTTTTTTACTAAACCATCCCTCCCTTTTTGCTTCCATGGATGGGGATTCCTAGCCATGTAAGTGAATGGGGCTGGTGCAATGGTTGGACTTGACATCACCCATGGTCCTCTCACTGGTGTCCTAACTGGGTCCTCCTACTGATGTCCTCCTACTTGTCCTTCCAAGGTCCTTCCACTGGTGCACCCACTGGTGTCCTCTCACTGGTGTCCTCCAACTGGTGTCCTCCTACTGGTGTCCTGATGGTCCTCCTACTGGTGTCCTTCCTGTCCTCCACTGTTGTCCTCCCACTGTTGTCCTCCCACTGGTGTCCTCCCACTGGTGTCCTCTCACTGGTGTCCTCCCACTGGTGTTCTCCTACTGGTGTCCTCCTACTGGTGTCCTTCCACTGGTGTCCTCCCACTGTCCTCCCACTGGTGTCCTCCCACTGTTGTCCTCCCACTGTTGTCCTCCCACTGGTGTTGTCCTCCTTCACTGGTGTCCTCCCACTGGTGTCCTCCCTCTGTGTCCTCCCACTGGTGTCCCTCCCACTCCCACTGTTGTCCTCCCACTGGTGTCCTCCCACTGGTGTCCTCCCACTGGGTTGTCCTCCTCCCTACTGGTGTCCTCCACTGTCCCTCCCTCTGGTGTCCTTCCACTCCCACTGGTGTCCTCTACTGTTGTCCTCCCACTGGTGTCCTCCCACTGGTGTCCTCAACAACCATTGACAACAGGAAGCTGTCATGTGTAATCACAGACTTAATTTGAGGGGGCTGTCAGATTCTGACAAGCCCCTCCCCCCCCCCCCACCTACAGACCCCCCACAACAGATAATACGTTGGCCTCCAATTTTCTATGGTCCTTGTGGAGGTTCATCTCCGGAATTCAATGGAAGATGTTTTGCTGCATCTGAAGGGAAATTTCACCTGAGGCCTAAAGCCTACGAGGAAAGGATCCGCTCCTCAGACACGGATTGGAGGAGCAAAATAAAAGCACCAAAGCAGGAAATGTCATGTTTTTCTCCTCTAATTGTTGACATTTTAAGCAAAATTGGGTTTGTCCTGTTCCCATAGCAACCTTCTATTTTTACGGCTTCCTCTTCCAGCGACCGCTAGACACATCAGTAGTCCAGCTGTCTGTCCAGCCAATTAGCCACTGCGTCAGGGAGACAATGTGATTATTGCCCAACTTTATAGATGGCTGGAAATATGAGGATACATTGTATATTATAATAGGATGATACATTGTATATTATAATAGGATGATACATTGTATATTATAATAGGATGATACATTGTAGATTCTAATATGAGGATACATTGTACATTATAATAGGATGATACATTGTAGATTCTAATATGAGGATACATTGTATATTATAATAGGATGATACATTGTAGATTTAATATGAGGACATTGTATATTATGACATACATTGTACATTATATTACATGAGGATACATTGTATATTATGAGGACATATCGTATATTATAACATGAGGATACATTGTAGATTGTTCTAAGGGCATATATTCTGGGACGTGATATATCATGATATGAGATATATCATATTCTGTATATTATGAGGACATATCATGTCTATTATAACATGAGGACACATACATTGTAGATTGTAATATAAGGGCATGTCTATTATATTCTGGGAACACGTCATATATCATGGTACGAGGACACATATATCATATTCTGGGAACACGTCATATATCATGGTACGAGGACACATATATCATATTCTGGGAACACGTGATATATCATGGTACGAGGACACATATATTATATTCTGGGAACACGTGAACACGTATATATATCATGGTACGAGGACACATATATTATATTCTGGGAACACGTGATATATCATGGTACGAGGACACATATATTATATTCTGGGAACACGTGATATATCATGGTACGAGGACACATATATCATATTCTGGGAACACGTGATATATCATGGTACGAGGACACATATATCATATTCTGGGAACACGTGATATATCATGGTACGAGGACACATATATTATATTCTGGGAACACGTGATATATCATGGTACGAGGACACATATATTCTGGGAACACGTCATATATCATGGTACGAGGACACATATATCATATTCTGGGAACACGTGATATATCATGGTACGAGGACACATATATCATATTCTGGGAACACGTCATATATCATGGTACGAGGACACATATATCATATTCTGGGAACGTCATATACGACACATATATTCTGGGAACACGTGATATATCATGGTACGAGGACACATATATCATATTCTGGGAACACGTGATATATCATGGTACGAGGACACATATATATATTCTGGGAACACGTCATATATCATGGTACGAGGACACATATATCATATTCTGGGAACACGTGATATATCATGGTACGAGGACACATATATCATGGGAACACGTCATATATCATGGTACGAGGACACATATTCTGGGAACACGTCATATATCATGGTACGAGGACACATATATTCTGGGAACACGTCATATATCATGGTACGAGGACACATCATATTCTGGGAACACGTCATATATCATGGTACGAGGACACATATATTCTGGGAACACGTGATATATCATGGTACGAGGACACATATATCATATTCTGGGAACACGTCATATATCATGGTACGAGGACACATATATTCTGGGAACACGTGATATATCATGGTATGAGGACACACATATATTCTGGGAACACGTGATATATCATGGTACGAGGACACATATATTCTGGGAACACGTGATATATCACGGTACGAGGACACATATATCATATTCTCAGGACGCCGTGTATATCATATGAGGACTGAGCGCTCCAATATCCTGTATATACCGTATACTACTGATGGCAGGAATTGTACCTTTCCTTATTCATGGTCTGATCCTCATTCTGGTGCAGTTTGGTGTGTTCATTCATCATGGGGGGGGGGGCAGAAAGTGCTAATCCATCCTTAATATATCATCCTTCTATATATAATACTTTCTGGGAAAAACAATTCCCTACTGACCCCCAAAAAAAAGCGCTCAATACTCAATGATTGAACTATTCCACGACAGAAGGAAGGAAGTGCAGCTTTGATCACGGGAGACGATGGCGGAGGCATTCTGCGTCCAACAACCGTGACATAAAAGTCGCCTCATCATCGCAGTATAACCGCACGGCGCGTTTCCCTCCAAGGGTCATGTGACAAACACAAACTGTGGCAGATGCAGGGAGGCGCGGTCAGCTGGCACGCCGTCACTCTGCGGGAACAATAAGTACATTGTGAGCGACGCTGTGCCAGTCTGTGAGTCCTCGCTGGGATCGCCGATCGCTCTGCGCTGAGTCGCTGGACAAGAACCATATTTCGGGATGAATGTGCGGCGCTCACACTCATGGGTGGTACCAAAGAAAAGAAAGATTGTCAGCGTTCGGCAAGGCCTGATCAGGAGTTGTGAGAAGCTCCTAGTGTGCAGGGAAATTAGAGGAAGCCATTCCAGTCCAGGGGAGGAGCAGGTACACCTGTGCAAGACTGAAGGGGAGGAGCCGGGACACCTGTGCAAGACTGAAGGGGAGGAGCCGGGACACCTGTGCAAGACTGAAGGGGAGGAGCCGGGACACCTGTGCAAGACTGAAGGGGAGGAGCCGGTACACCTGTGCAAGACTGAAGGGGTGGATCCGGTACATCTGTGCGAGACTGAGGGGAGGAGCCAGTACACCTGTGCAAGACTGAAGGGGAGGAGCCAGTACACCTGTGCAAGACTGAAGGGGTGGAGTCGGTACACCTGTGCAAGACTGAAGGGGAGGAGCCTGTTCACCTGTGCAAGACTGAAGGGGAGGAGCTTGTTCACCTGTGCAAGACTGAAGGGGAGGAGCCTGTTCACCTGTGCAAGACTGAAGGGGAGGAGCGGTACACCTGTGCGAGACTGAAGGGGAGGAGCCGGTACACCTGTGCAAGACTAAAGGTGAGGAGCCTGTGCAAGGTACACCTGTGCAAGACTGAAGGGGAGGAGCCGGTACACCTGTGCGAGACTAAAGGGGTACACCTGGAGCTAAAGGTGAGGAGCGGGTACACCTGTGCAAGACTGAAGAGGGAGGAGCCGGTACACCTGTGCAAGACTGAAGGGGAGGTGCCAGTACACCTGTGCAAGACTGAAGGGGAGGAGCCAATACACCTGTGCAAGACTGAAGGGGAGGAGCCGGTACACCTGTGCAAGACTGAAGGGGAGGAGCCACCTGTGCAAGTACACCTGTGCGAGACTAAAGGGGAGGAGCAGGTACACCTGTGCAAGACTGAAGGGGAGGAGACGATACACCTGTGCAAGACTGCAAGACTGAAGGGGAGGAGCCAGTACATCTGTGCAAGACTAAAGGGGAGGATCCAGAGATCAGCTATAAGCATTACATTGGCTGTACAGATATACGGAATGTTATTGCAGATTTTTCCAAAAAAAGGGACAGCAGCTAATATAAATCTGTGATGAATAAGAGTACAATGGGGGGGGGGGGGGTTGGCAGCATTTATAACCCCCATATTATAGATTTTGTCTTTTGGGGTTTCCTTCGATGACAAATGACTTGTGATTAAACCTCACCAGATGAATGGTGATGGATCGGGGACGGCCACCGGGACTTTGTCTGTCTGCTGGCTGTGAGTAATGACCCCGACTAATGTGATCCTGTGTCTGGGGACCGAGCTGCGGGGAGTCTAAGTGTTTCTTTGCTTTAATATAATGTGTATGAGGTAATGAGCGCTGTGGGGGGGGTCATTATTCAAGATGTCGTAAGAGTCACAGCGGACTTCATGTGGGTGGAGCCGGGACCACAGGATGAGGATTTATCATATTATTCTGGACGCCTTCACAAAAGTGTAAGAACATCCAACTATATATATATAAATTCACGGCTCCAAAAAATGAGAGGAAGACTCTGAAAACCCATCAGATCCCAATGGGGAGGAATCTCCTGCTGGATCTCTATACTGACATGGACGGGGGATGGGTGAGGAACTTAAGGATGCCCCATCGTTTGATGGAAATGAAAATGATCGACCTACAGAGGACTGAGGACACCCCAAAAATCAAAGTGAAGAAATGATGCAGCAGGCGAGTCCATTGTGCTGAAATGTCATTGCAGCAACTCAGAATGGCCCTCAGTAGTCTGTGTGGCCCCCACATGCTTGTATGCATGCCTGACAACGTCGGGGGAGGCTCCTAATGAGACCACGGATGGTGTCCTGGGGGATTTCCTCCCAGATCTGGACCAGGACATCACTGAGCTCCTGGACAGTCTGAGGTGCAACCTGGCGGCATCAGATGGACCGAAACATGACATCCCAGAGGTGTTCTATTGGATTTAGGTCAGGCCAGCATGGGGGCAATTCAATGGTATCAATTCCTTCATCCAGCCTTCCCTCCCCACCTCAATGAGCCTCCTCCCCAACCCCATCAATGAGCCTTCCGTTCCCACCTCCATCAATAAGCCTTCCCTGCCCAACTTGATCAATGAGTCTTCCCAACCCATGACCCTGTCTCCAGTTGGCTGGTTCTCCTGGGACCACTTTTGGTTGGTCCTGACCACTGCAGACAAGGAACATCCCACAAGAGCTACAGTTTTGAAGTTGCTATGACCCACTCTTATACACATTACACTTCAATCCTTGTCAAGGTCCCTCAAATCTTTACACTTGTCCATTTTTTTTCAACCTCAGGGACAACATATTCACTTGCTGCCCAATATATCCCACCCACTTTCAGATGCCATTGTTACCAGTCAGTGGTTATAAAGGTCTGGCTGGTCAGTGTATATAAAATCCAGACGACGGCGGCACTCGAAAGGTGAAGTTTTACCATAAGATAGCAATCAACTGAACTGTAATAATGTTAAACAAACTTTTAACTGATGCAAACAGGGTTAAAAATATCTGCATTATTTAACCCAGAGATAAATGTCCTCACTATGCATACAGCCCCAATAGAGGATGGGTGCATGTATTCATGACAAAAGGGTTCCCTGCAGGTAGCTATAAAGTGCCCAACAACTAATTGTCAGTATTAACCGGCTGTCACTGGGGCCTTTCTGTAAGATGGTGCATGTGGAGCTGTCCCCTTAAAAGTGTGAAATGGATGGCTGATGGACTGCTAAGTAAGGAGCAGTCTCATTAACTGTGGGCAGCAGGAGATTAAGCTTTGTAGTTCCGCTCATCACTCCTCATCAACCCGCTGTCGTTTGGGCCCTTCTGTAAGGTGGTGCACGTGGAGCTTTCCCTTTAGAAGTGTGCTATGGATGACTGATGGACTGCTAAGTAAGGTGCAGTCTCTATTACATTAACTGTGGGCAGCAAGGGGTTAGGCTTTGTAGTTCCACTCATCACTCCTGGCATGCAACAAGTCTGGTCCCATGTGCTTGGTGGTCAGTTGTCCCAGAAGTCTTAGTCCTCACAATCAGGTCCTCACTGACTGTAGGTGCCTACAGTAACAGGTCCCAGCACAGCAGGAGACCTTTCAGCGTTTCTGTCCTTTGGTCTCTGGTGTGGGCACAGACACCCCAGCGATCGGTCCACACTCTCCCAGTCTCCCTTGGCAAAGACTCCTATGGCCCCTGGTCTCTGCACAGTCCCAGCAAAGGCCACAGATCTGTTTGGCTTGGCTTCCTCCCATGGAAAACTCTGACCTCTCTAGAATTGCCCAGGAAAAGTTCTGTCATTTGTCCTTTTGTTAGCAGGGAGTCCTGGGTGTTGTAGTTTTTAACTGTATTCATTCCCCAAGAGCAGCACTGCTCTAGGACCACATCTCCCAGGCTTAATGGCATCATCAGTTGGGAGGGGAGATGAGTGGCTGTATCATCACGTCTCTCCTTGGTGAATGTCAGTTCCAGGCGGGAGAAGGGGGACGGGGTCGGTTCTGACCAGTGCAGACCAGGAACATCCCACAAGAGATTAAATACCTGGCATCTAATTTTCAGCATTATTCTGCTATCATTTGGGCCCTTCTGTAAGGTGGTGCACGTAGAGCTGTCTCTTTAGAAGTGTGTGGGCACAGACACCCCAGTGATAGGTCTGCACTCTCCCAGTCCCCCTTGCCAAAGACTCCTATGGCCTCTGGCAGGGGCGGACTGACCATTTGGAAACTCGAGCACTGCCCGAGGGCCCAGGGTCAGTAGGGGGCCCCATGAGATGCCCCTGGTACCTTCTTCATAGGCTTTTTTTTGAGTTTGGGCAAGGACACAGGGGCCCCATGATCCCCTATTGTCCAGAAGCCCCTTGAGTTGTCAGTCCACCCCCTGGCCTCTGCACAGTCCCAGCAAAGGCCACAGATCTATATGGCTTGACAGAGTGCACAGGCAGTTCTGCGGCGCAATGGTGGGGAGGGGGGAGGAGAGCTGGTACAGAGTGCACAGGCTGTTCTGCAGCACAATGGGGGTGGGGGGGAAGGAGAGCGGGTACAGAGTGCACAAGCCGCTCTGCAGCATAATGGTGGTGGAGGGAGGAGAGCGGGTACAGAGTGCACAGGCCGCTCTGCAGCACAATGGTGGTGGGGGGAGGAGAGCGGGTACAGAGTGCACAGGCCGCTCCTCCTTCCGGCGGGCACCCGGCTACACTCCGATCACCAACCAGGCCCGTTTTTCTCTGTGGGAAATATGTGCGGTGACAACCCCTGGACTATATGGACTGCAGGCGCTCAACTGGCCATACTGTCCCCTTCCCCCAATCAGCGGCTGGATAACAAATGTCCTTTTTGGAGATTTTAGCTCCCGCAGGCTGCACTACTATGTTGTATCGGCATCAGAATACGTCTCGCGAACGCTGAGACCGTTCCATGGGGTCAGCCCAGAGCTCCAACCTATACATGGCGGGAAATCATTATTGTGAAAAGTCGGAGGGTCTTTGAGGTGGGAAGGTTGTCGGGCCCCTGCAGAGAATGAACTTCAGAGGGAAAGGTGACAACGGTCTCAGATGTCGGCCATGTGTCACGCTGCGAGAGACAACATGATGTGATGGAACCACATGGGGTCGTTGTGGTTTTTTCAAATAAACTACAGATGGGTTTTTTCCACCATTGGTCTTCCCCTGTAGTCCCCCTTCCCCTGTAGACCCCTTCCCCTGTAGTCCACCTCCTTTGTAGTCCCCGTATCCTCTAGACCCCTTCCGATGTAGTCCCTCTTACCTGTAGACCCCCTCTCCTTTAGACCCATTCCGCTGTAGACCCCCTCTCATCTAGACCCCTTCCCCTGTGGACCGCACACCTCTGCCCCTCCCTTCTTCCGCATTACAAGCAACATAAATACAGGGGGCAGTTTTGGAGGGACAGAGGCTCTGGGGTACGATACAGGGGGCAGTTGTGGAGGGACAGAGGCTCTTGGGTACGATACAGGGGGCAGTTGTGGAGGGACAGAGGCTCTTGGGTACGATACAGGGGGCAGTTTGTGGAGGGACAGAGGCTCTGGGGTACGATACAGGGGGCAGTTGTGGAGGGACAGAGGCTCTGGGGTACGATACAGGGGGCAGTTGTGGAGGGACAGAGGCTCTTGGGTACGATACAGGGGGCAGTTTGTGGAGGGACAGAGGCTCTGGGGTACGATACAGGGGGCAGTTGTGGAGAAACAGAGGCTCTTGGGTACGATACAGGGGGCAGTTTTGGAGGGACAGAGGCTCTGGGGTACGATACAGGGGGCAGTTGTGGAGGGACAGAGGCTCTGGGGTACTATACAGGGGGCAGTTGTGGAGGGACAGAGGCTCTGGGGTATGATACAGGGGGCAGTTGTGGAGGGATGAAGGGACTGGGGTACGATACAGGGGGCAGTTGGGGGCAGTTGTGGAGGGATGAAGGGACTGGGGTAAAATACAAAAGGGATTGTAGAGAGTTGGAGGCTATAGGGTAGAAAACAGGGGTAGCTGTGGATAGGTTGAGAATTTGGAATACAATTCAGGGGCAGTTGTAGGGGGATGGAGGGTCAGGGGTACAATACAGAGGAGCAGTCATAGGGGGATGAAGGCTCTGGTGTACAATACAGGGGGGCAGTTGTAGGGGGATGGAGGGTCTGGTATACAATACGGGGGGCAGTTGGGGGATGGAGGGTCCGGTATACAATTCGGGGGGCAGTTGGGGGATGGAGGGTCCGATATACAATTCGGGGGGCAGTTGTAGGGGGATGGAGGGTCCGGTATACAATACGGGGGCAGTTGTAGGGGGATGGAGGGTCCAGTGTACAGTACAGGAGGGTGCAGTTGTAGGGGGATGGAGGGTCCAGTGTACAATTCGGGGGGGCAGTTGTAGGGGGGATAGAGAGCACAGTGTACAATACAAGGGGGCAGTTATAGGGGGATGGAGGGTCCAGTGTACAGTACAGGGGGGGGCAGTTGTAGGGGGATGGAGGGTCCGGTATACAATTCGGGGGGCAGTTGTAGGGGGATAGAGGGTCAAGTGTACAATACAGGGGGCAGTTGTAGGGGGATGGAGGGTCCAGTGTACAGTACGGGGGGGGGCAGTTGTAGGGGGATGGAAGGTCCGGTATACAATTCGGGGGGGCAGCTGTAGGGGGATGGAGGGTCCGGTATACAATTCGGGGGGCAGTTGTAGGGGGATGGAGGGTCCAGTGTACAGTACAGGGGCAGTTGTAGGGGGATGGAGGGTCCAGTGTACAGTACAGGGGGGGGGGCAGTTGTAGGGGGATGGAGGGTCCAGTGTACAGTACGGGGGGCAGTTGTAGGGGGATGGAGGGTCCAGTGTACAGTACAGGCGGGGGGGGGCAGTTGTAGGGGGATGGAGGGTCCAGTGTACAGTACAGGGGGGGGGGGGGCAGTTGTAGGGGGATGGAGGGTCCAGTGTACAGTACAGGCGGGGGGGCAGTTGTAGGGGGATGGAGGGGTATACAATTCGGGGGGCAGTTGTAGGGGGATGGAGGGTCCGGTATACAATTCGGGGGGCAGTTGTAGGGGGGATGGAGGGTCCAGTGTACAGTACAGGGGGCAGTTGTAGGGGGATGGAGGGTCCAGTGTACAGTACAGGGGGGGGGCAGTTGTAGGGGGATGGAGGGTCCAGTGTACAGTACAGGGGCAGTTGTAGGGGGATGGAGGGTCCAGTGTACAGTACAGGCGGGGGGGGCAGTTGTAGGGGGATGGAGGGTCCAGTGTACAGTACAGGCGGGGGGGGGCAGTTGTAGGGGGATGGAGGGTCCAGTGTACAGTACAGGAGGGGGGCAGCTGTAGGGGGATGGAGGGTCCAGTGTACAGTACGGGGGGGGGCAGCTGTAGGGGGATGGAGGGTCCAGTGTACAGTACAGGGGGGTAGTTGTAGGGGGATGGAGGGTCCAGTGTACAGTACAGGGGGGGCAGCTGTAGGGGGATGGAGGGTCCAGTGTACAGTACAGGGGGGGCAGTAGTGGAAGCACAGAGACTTTGGGGTACAATCCAGGGCGTGCTCTGTGGCGTGCTCTGTGGCGTGTTCTGTGGCGTGTTGTAGGGATCACACATTCTGCGGTGGGTGGAGGGAGAATTCTCGGCTGACATGTAGAAGTTTTGTTCTGTTTTATGTCACTGAACAGGAAATGGCTGAGATGTTACATTGTAACAGATGTTGTGGCAGCAGAACCCCCACAATGCGATTTTCGGACGCACAGAAACATTTCTCTAACATTTCTTACATTGTAATTACGGATCGATTCTACATTTCTATCAGCGAATCTCATCATTGGGAACGTCTGTCACTAGAACATCTCCTGTCACATCAGATCTAAACCAAAACCGAATGACATTTCCTTCATTCTCAGCAATTTTTTTGTCAGAAACAAATGTTTTGTTTTTTTTTTATATAAATGCAAAAATGTTTTGAAAAAGACGAGCAGACTCGAAGGACCACTCGCTCTTATTCTGCCGTCACTTTTCTCGGTTTCTAAAATTTGAGTTTGTTTTCCAGTTTCTTTTAATCCTTTTGTTACATCTCAGAGCTTCAAATCTCCTGCAACCTCTTTGCAGCCACTTCCTGTCTTCATACACTCCTATGATGGCCCCATTCTCAGGACGGGTACCCTGCTGGGGACCACAAAGGACCGTGTCTGTGTTATGTGTGCTGGACCAGCCACCTGTAGCTTCATCGGAAGCCTGTGTGACATCTAGCAAAAACGAAATATGGGAGACAAGGCCAGAGCGTTGGGATGGAAGTGCCTGAAAATCCTTCATGGTAGCCACCAGAGGTATGCGTTTCACTGCTACCAGGAAGTGCCTGTAAGAAATGTATAATAACATTAGGTGTGTGAGCGGGGGAGGGGTAAGGCCAGGAGCGTTGTCACCCTCTACCAGGAAAAGTGCCTGAAAAGTAACCTTCATGGTAGGATTTCACAAGAGATTATTTTGTGCACTGCGGTATATGTCAGAGATATAGAAATGTATAATAACATTAGGGGTGTGACTGCGGGGAGGGGACATTAGAGTGTAAGCTCCTCTGGTACAGAGACTGATGGGACCGCGGGGAGGGGACATTAGAGTGTAAGCTCCTCTGGTACAGAGGCTGATGGGACTGTGGGGGAGGGGACATTAGAGTGTAAGCTCCTCTGGTACAGAGATTGATGGGACTGTGGGGGAGGGGACATTAGAGTGTAAGCTCCTCTGGTACAGAGATTGATGGGACTGTGGGGGGAGGGGACATTAGAGCGTAAGCTCCTCCGGTGCAGAGACTGATGGGACTGTGGGGGAGGGGACATTAGAGCGTAAGCTCCTCCGGTGCAGAGACTGATGGGACTGTGGGGGAGGGGACATTAGAGCGTAAGCTCCTCCGGTGCAGAGACTGATGGGACTGCGGGGGAGGGGACATCAGAGAGTAAGCTCCTCCGGTACAGAGACTGATGGGACTGTGGGGGAGGGGACATCAGAGAGTAAGCTCCTCCGGTACAGAGACTGATGGGACTGCGGGGGAGGGGACATCAGAGAGTAAGCTCCTCCGGTACAGAGACTGATGGGACTGCGGGGGAGGGGACATCAGAGCGTAAGCTCCTTCGGTACAGAGACTGATGGGACTGCGGGGGAGGGGACATTAGAGCGTAAGCTCCTTCGGTACAGAGACTGATGGGACTGCGGGGGGGGGGGACATTAGAGTGTAAATTTTGGTTTATTAAAACTCTTACAAACATCACAAAAAAACATATTTACATATATACAGAATAAAATATAAATATATATATATAATTAAACAAAAACAGCTACTTCAGCAAAGAAAACAAACAGCTTTTTTGCCAGAAAAAAACAAAACAGAACCAATCATATTTTATTATTACTATTATCTTCTTTATATTGCATCTTAACAAACCCAACCGTCACCTAAGCCCCGCCCTCAGGCTACGAAACGAGGAAACATCGATCCCATACATGCCGCCTTCAAAAATCTAGGGGACGTGAAAGGCCAGAAAGAGAAGCCACGCCCCCAGAGACTGACAGACAGCAGCTACGGGGACCTGACATTCCTCCAGGCCATACTTGCCAAGAAGCAGCCATAGGTACTCATGATTGACTCGATCAAAAGCTTTGGCCTGATCCAATGCCAGCAGGAACTTTCCCCAGCCTGCAGCCCTGCACCGCTCCAGGGCCTCCCGGACAGCTAACACCGCTGAAAAAGTGCTTCTTCCCTGAACCGAACAGTGCTGATGGCGAGAAAGTAAATTGCCCGCAACAGACGATAAACGCCAAAAAATGATCTTTGCCAATATCTTCCTATCACCATTGAGAAGGCTAATGGGCCGCCAATTCTCAATTCTCGAGGAATCCTTACCCTTTGACAGAAGAATCACTGCAGATTGTCGCATGGAGGGGGAGAGCGGACCCTCTCTCAGACATGGAGGGGGAGAGCAAACCCTCTCTCAGACATGGAGGGGGAGGGCGGACCCTCTCTCAGACATGGAGGGGGAGGGCGGACCCTCTCTCAGACATGGAGGGGAGAGAGCAAACCCTCTCTCAGACATGGAGGGGGAGAGCGAACCCTCTCTCAGACATGGAGGGGGAGGGCGGACCCTCTCTCAGACATGGAGGGGGAGGGCGGACCCTTTCTCAGACATGGAGGGAGAGAGCAAACCCTCTCTCAGACATGGAGGGGGAGGGCGGACCCTCTCTCAGACATGGAGGGGGAGGGCGGACCCTCTCTCAGACATGGAGGGGGAGGGCGGACCCTCTCTCAGACATGGAGGGGGAGGGCGGACCCTCTCTCAGACATGGAGGGGGAGGGCGGACCCTCTCTCAGACATGGAGGGGGAGGGCGGACCCTCTCTCAGACATGGAGGGGGAGGGCGGACCCTCTCTCAGACATGGAGGGGGAGGGCGGACCCTCTCTCAGACATGGAGGGGGAGGGCGGACCCTCTCTCAGACATGGAGGGGGAGAGCGGACCCTCTCTCAGACATGGAGGGGGAGGGCGGACCCTCTCTCAGACATGGAGGGAGAGAGCGGACCCTCTCTCAGACATGGAGGGGGAGGGCGGACCCTCTCTCAGACATGGAGGGAGAGAGCAAACCCTCTCTCAGACATGGAGCTTTCACGGGGAGGGGCGGACCCTCTCTCAGACATGGAGGGAGAGAGCGGACCCTCTCTCAGACATGGAGGGGGAGGGCGGACCCTCTCTCAGACATGGAGGGAGAGAGCAAAACCCTCTCTCAGACATGGAGGGGGGAGGGCGGACCCTCTCTCAGACATGGAGGGAGAGAGCGGACCCTCTCTCAGACATGGAGGGGGAGGGCGGACCCTCTCTCAGACATGGAGGGGAGAGAGCGAACCCTCTCTCAGACATGGAGGGGGAGGGCGGACCCTCTCTCAGACATGGAGGGAGAGAGCGGACCCTCTCTCAGACATGGAGGGGGAGGGCGGACCCTCTCTCAGACATGGAGGGGGAGGGCGGACCCTCTCTCAGACATGGAGGGGGAGGGCGGACCCTCTCTCAGACATGGAGGGAGAGAGCGAACCCTCTCTCAGACATGGAGGGGGAGGGCGGACCCTCTCTCAGACATGGAGGGAGGAGAGCGGACCCTCTCTCAGACATGGAGGGGGAGGGCGGACCCTCTCTCAGACATGGAGGGGGAGGGCGGACCCTCTCTCAGACATGGAGGGAGAGAGCGAAACCCTCTCTCAGACATGGAGGGGGAGGGCGGACCCTCTCTCAGACATGGAGGGAGAGAGCGGACCCTCTCTCAGACATGGAGGGGGAGGGCTCCCTCTCTCAGACAGCCATTAAAAACCTCCACCAAATATGGGGCCAGAGTCACCTTAAAGTGCTTATAAAACTCGGCTGTCAATCCGTCTGGCCCAGGCGACTTCTTCATGGCAAGCTGATCAATAGCTTTCACCACCTCATCTGCCGTGATGTCCTCTGTCCCATCTCACAGGAGAACTGCCATTTCCCAGTCCTGGAGTAGAGTCCAGAAAACCCAACATGCTCGCCCGATCGAGGTCCCTCCTACCCAGGACTCACAGGGAGAACTGCCATTTCCCAGTCCGGAGCCGAGTCCAGAAAACCCGACATACTTGCCCGATCGAGGTCCCTCCTACCCAGGACTCACAGGAGAACTGCCATTTCCCAGTCCTGGAGTAGAGTCCAGAAAACCCAACATGCTCGCCCGATCGAGGTCCCTCTTACCCAGGACTCACAGGAGAACTGCCATTTCCCAGTCCTGGAGTAGAGTCCAGAAAACCCAACATCCTCGCCCCATCGAGGTCCCTCCTACCCAGGACTCACAGGGAGAACTGCCATTTCCCAGTCCTGGAGTAGAGTCCAGAAAACCCAACATGCTCGCCCGATCGAGGTCCCTCCTACCCTGGACTCACAGGAGAACTGCCATTTCCCAGTCCTGGAGTAGAGTCCAGAAAACCCAACATCCTCGCCCATCGAGGTCCCTCCTACCCAGGACTCACAGGAGAACTGCCATTTCCCAGTCCTGGAGTAGAGTCCAGAAAACCCAACATGCTCGCCCGATCGAGGTCCCTCCTACCCAGGACTCACAGGAGAACTGCCATTTCCCAGTCCTGGAGTAGAGTCCAGAAAACCCAATATCCTCGCCCGATCGAGGTCCCTCCTACCCAGGACTCACAGGAGAACTGCCATTTCCCAGTCCTGGAGCAGAGTCCAGAAAACCCAACATACTTGCCCGATCTAGGTCCCTCCTACCCAGGACTCACAGGGAGAACTGCCATTTCCCAGTCCTGGAGTAGAGTCCAGAAAACCCAACATGCTCGCCCGATCGAGGTCCCCCTTACCCAGGACTCACAGGAGAACTGCCATTTCCCAGTCCTGGAGTAGAGTCCAGAAAAACCCGACATGCTCGCCCGATCGAGGTCCCTCCTACCCAGGAGGTCAGCATAATATGACCTGGAGGTTTCCAGGATCCCTGACTTGGACTTTGTCAGGGAACCCGTACTGTCAACCAGGCCTACAACTGACTTAACTGCTCTACCTTGTTTGCAGTTCTGGTAAGGGTCGGGCGAGTGATATTTCCCATAATCCCTTTCCAGAACCAAAGAGGCATGCCTGTCATATTGACACTGCCTGAGCAAGAGTTTAACCTCAGAGATCGCTTCTGGATCCCCATTATTCGAGACAAGCCGATCGAGCTTCCTCCGCAGACGCTGGTAGGTGACATACTTATCAAGCTGTTTATTCCTTCCTATGGCCTTGAACCCCCAACGATCCTTCGTTTTGTAAGCTCCCACCACTCGGACTTACTGCTGCAAACGTCCATGATTGATACCTGTGCCTGAAAAAAAATCCTCAAAGGATTGACTCACCTTCTCATCGTCCAGGAGTGCCGAATTCAGCTTCCAGGTACCCTCCCCCTTAGGTGGTGTATCGGGGCCACTCAGAGTCACAGACAGAATACAGTGATCGGAAAAAACTCCACCGCCTGACACACTGGTGCCGAGAAGGCGGAGTTCCCCTTTAAAAATACCTATCTATTTCTACTCTGACTAGAACCTCGCTGAAAAGTGAATCCCGTGTCGTCTGGGCAGCAATGAATGTGCACATCAACCAGACCTGCCTCTCTAGCCGTCACAGTCCAGCCTGACTCCGGTCCCCTCTCCTGTCCTTAGTCCTAGTGACGGTGTTAAAGTCACCACCGAAGACAACTTGCTGGGCTGTAAAAAGGAAAGGCTTGATCTTCATGAAGAGGCATTTCCTGTCCCATTTTGTCTGGGGCCCATAGATGTTAATCAGGCGCAGGTCCTGCCCCCCCATGGAGACGTCTAAGACCATGCATCTCCCCATTTCTACTCTCAATAATCCGCCGACAGGTTACCATGCCGGAAAAAAGTACCGCAACTCCAGTGTAAGGCTCGGCCGCAAGAGACCAGAAGGAGGGGCCGCGCCTCCACTCCTTTCTTCGCCATATGAACATCCCCCAAACTGGACAACCTGGTCTCCTGCAAAAAGAAAATGTCAGCATCAAACCTGCTGAGCAAAGATAAGGCCATGTTACGAGCGCTTACTGATTTTATGCTGGAGACATTAATGGTCGCCACCTTCAAAGGAGTGGGAACCGCCATCAGGATGATCGAGGTACCACGTTTCTTAGCCTGCTTACCCCCCTCCCTACTTGGAGACCCCTACACGCTTCAGTGTCCTCTGTGATTCCTCCTCCATGGAAACCAGAGACTCATCCCCTGAAGATCCCTCATCCTCCACCTCAGATAACACATCAAATGTGTTTGACACCTCCACCCTCCCAGGGTCAGGTACAGGCACATCCTCCTTCCGCTTCTTTCTTCCCAGACTTCCTTTTTGCCTCCAACCACTCCATATCATCATTTGATTAAACCGGCCCGCAAAGCCCCCTCCCCTTCCCTTCCCACCATCACCAACAACATCATCCACCCCACTCTCTCCACTCACCACAGCAGTCCCCCCCCAACCTTCACCCCAACACCCCCACCATCATTCACTCCACCCCCCAGCGCCTCACGCCCTCTGATCCTCAGACACCAGGGAGCGGGGGTCGGTGCAACCATACACATTGGTCCAGCTCCCTCCACAGCCCCCACTACCTCTGGGGAAACTGACACAGGAGGATCAGACACAACATCCACGGACACTGACTCAGGGGGCACAACACAAGGAGATGACACATTAGAGGGGACCATCAGACACTGGGACCACAGGGACAGAGACATGACCCCTGGCACAGCCCCCTCTCCTCTGCCTCCTCCATGTCCAGACGAAAAAACTCTTCCACCAAAGCTGACTGGTTGTGCATGGCCTCAGGGCACCGGTTGTACGAATGGCCAACCTTATCACACAGATTGCACCTGATGATGTTACAATCCTTAGCCAGGTGCCCCAGATCCTGACATAGGGAGCACTTCATCTCTGGACATGAGGAGGCCAAGTGACCCCGAGAACCAGATGCCCCAGATCCTGACATAGAGAGCACTTCATCTCTGGACATGAGGAGGCCAAGTGACCCCGAGAACCAGATGCCCCCAGATCCTGACATAGAGAGCACTTCATCTCTGGACATGAGGAGGCCAAGTGACCCCGAGAACCAGATGCCCCAGATCCTGACATAGAGAGCACTTCATCTCTGGACATGAGGAGGCCAAGTGACCTTGAGAACCAGATGCCCCAGATCCTGACATAGAGAGCACTTCATCTCTGGACATGAGGAGGCCAAGTGACCCCGAGAACCAGATGCCCCAGATCCTGACATAGAGAGCACTTCATCTCTGGACATGAGGAGGCCAAGTGACCCCGAGAACCAGATGCCCCAGATCCTGACATAGAGAGCACTTCATCTCTGGACATGAGGAGGCCAAGTGACCTTGAGAACCAGATGCCCCAGATCCTGACATAGAGAGCACTTCATCTCTGGACATGAGGAGGCCAAGTGACCCCGAGAACCGCACTTATTGCAGAGCTTGGGCTGTCCAGGGTAGAACACAACAATCCTATCCTTGCCAATGAAGGCTGAGGAGGGCAGATGCAGGACCACATTCCCCACACATACAACCTCATCTGCACCGGCCACCCACCAGTCCATATCCTCCTCTCATCCACAATCTTCTTCAGGGGTGTAAGTAGCTCCCCAAATCTCAGCCAGACAGCAGAAGGAATCAACTCATTCCTTACTAGGATGGTGACCGTCTTAAGGTTGGCGTGAGACAACCTTTGGGACGAGTCCCTTCCACTCCGGCAGACCCTTATACATATGTTCATACTTCTCCCAGAGTATATCCAGAGACTCGGGGCGCACAAAGGACAAGTCATATTCATAGGATCCTACAGGACTGACCAAAGCGAAGATCTCATCAGC